GAAGGAAAAGGAGACTATTTTAAAGTGTTTTTATACATAAGCCGCTCCTGATGTTCTAAGAGTTCCCGAATCAAAACTACGCCTGAGCGTAGTTTCTTTTCTGTTGCCGGTCCTACAAACTATGGCTGGAATCTCAGCCTCAGGTTTGATTCTTTCTTCCTCCAGAAGTAGACGCGATACACCAATAGACATACGTAGACAGGCTTGCTGCAGGTAAATTTATATGTGGCTTCTTTGCACGGCAACCGCATACAAGCGGGCAGAAAGAATGCAGGCTCCTGTGCGTTCACAGCCGCTTTCATTCGCAAGAGGCTGTACAAAAATCTCCTTGTCTCAGTCCCCCGCCGCTTAAATGGATTAGTTTCTGTTCCTTACCTCACAGGAGCGTAGCGCGGGATTCTGACGCCACTCTTATTACCATGCTAGAAGAGCCACCTCCACACCCAAGATAGACAGAAAGCCTGATGGCCGGCCGCCTAACTGTGTTTCTTTCCCTCCTTTCCCGCACAGAATGAGAGGGAAACCATCGCTTTCTTTGCACAGGAGGACGGCCGCTTCCCTGCCCAGATGGGGCCAAAAGCCTTCAAAATCCCCTACTCTATCAGACAAAGAATATGTGCAACTTTTGACACGCCCAATGCCAAAGGCAAAGACTGGCAGATGTTAGCGCAAAAAAACAGCATCAACAGGTAATGGAAGGCAATTCTGAAAGGTGAACATTTACATATGCAATGGAAATAATTTGCTGCTATCACGGTCTTTTTTTTGTTTGCTGGTATTAAAGATGGGGGCATAGTAATTACCATACGTGCGCTCAAGGGTAAACTGCACTTCATACGTTCTTTTATATGACTAACTGCAGGAAACAGGAATGGTTTCTCCTCTGAATAAACCTACGCATCCAGTCCTTCCTGATGTTAACGTCTAAACTCAGTGTCTTTCTCACAGCCTGGACCTTTTCCTTGTACCTCTGCAAGAGCGAGGTCTTGGTACAGTTTGTGAGCGTAGAAAGATTTTGGCACTGTTGGGTATTATGAAAACAGTGGATTAAAAGGCCTTGTAAGGTTGCATGTGCTCTCGGGGGGGGGAAAAAAAAAAATAAAATAATCACGTGCCTTGTTTTCATGAGTTTTACCCTCATGTTTTTTATTTCAAAGAGAGTAACCCATTTTGTCTTTTTTTTTTTTTTTTTTTAAAGGAAACGGCATAGTTAAAGGTTAAGTGTTGCTGTACTGTTTGTTAATAGTAACATTACCGTTATGAAAACTGAAAGACGCTGTAGAAACTAATGTGCTCCTCGTTTTGCTTTTTCCACTTGGCTAAATTAATTTGGGGCAGGCAGTTTACTCACGGAAAACATTTTCTGATTCTCAGGAACGCCACCTGCGTGTTCCCAGCAGGTTAGAGGAATACGTAAATCAAGCAAAACAGGCTTGATTTACTGCTTTTCATGGGAATCTCCATAAGCCAAACCTGAACCAAAAAAAGAGAGTAATCCATAGTCTGGCAGCAGAGAGGAAGTCAAAAAATTTTCGTTCAGCTAGCGGCTTTCACTACCCGTTAGGCGTTTCGATCCCGCTTTACTTCCGTTCCTTATGCGTAAAGTAAGCCAGAGAAACATTTCCGCTTTCAGAGGAAACGGAGAGATGGCCTACTAAGGAGATTACTGTGACGGTCTAAGACCAAGTGTTTGTGACATCCCTTTAATTTTAGATTCTGTGCAGAGGCCTGGGTAGGGTCTTTGCAGTATCTGTGTTTATGAGAGCCAAATTCATAGGTGTAAACAGAAAGCTGTTGAACAGTTTAAGTGACCCTGAACGTAGCTGTTAAGTCAGCTAGTCGAACACGTCATTTATTTACTTATTTCCATGTAGCTGATGCACAGCATAATCCATTAGTGTCGTCATGATAGTATTTTCTCTACCCTTGCTCCCCACCTACCACCTCTAGTTGACACTTACTTACATGTCTGGACAGGCTTTCCTCTTCCCGTGCCACAGTAAGGCTTCTTCCCAGGCCACAGTAAGGCTTAATTGGCTGTGAACTTCCCCTCCTTTGAAAATGCCTCTACTTTCAGACTTCCACACTGGGATTTTACCTACAGAGTACGGTTAGGCTTTTGAGGTCTGAGGTTTTTAAGCTTGTTACAAATCTCCCTTGATTTTCAAGGTAGGTAAGTTAACTACCAGTGTTTAGGTAGTTTCTCTGCTCATATGAGGGGAAGGCTTGAGTTAAGACAGGGCATGGTACTTGGCTGCTTGGAATTCATTGGCGAACAGGTAAGGGGCAATGCACTAGTGACCACGCTGTCCGTTTTATGCACCTCCTTGGAGGAGACGGCATCACAACTGCAAGCTAAGCCTATTCAGCGCAGTCGGAAAAAATACATCGCTGACAGTTACCTGTTTTACTCGCTCAAACACGTGATGCACGCGACAGTTTGTTCCTTTGTCTACGAATGGTAACGGAGTCACGATTTCAGGAGTATCTAATCAGGATTTGGCATCTCAGGCTTCACTAAGTAAATGCTTGCTGTCTTACTACGTTTGTGCTTATGTACATGAAGGTAACTGATAGATTTATTTGGATGATTATGTCCAAAGCAACTGCAGACGATGATTTAAGGTAACGTGTGTTTAAGGAAAACATTTTGACGTCACCAAGCTCTTTCCCGGTATTACCCCTCCAGAGTTCTATAAACTACAGGGGGCATCTACGTTTTAATGAAACCTAAATTGCCAAGTGACAAGATGATGCCTCGTACCTGCCTATAATTACAAGCAAGCACCAATTAAAATTACATGTAATTTCTCTTCCTGACAAATACCTGGTAGGTAAGTTTACTGATGATGCTTTCCAGAAATGACTGATGATCTAAATTCTACGGGGGGGGTGGGGGGGGGGGGGGGGTGCTGGCGCTGGACGGCACGGAGGAACCTCAGAATACGACCATTCT